TTTTAATGTCTTTGGTCAGGTTTTCTCTGTGATATTTTATTTTTTTTGCAGCTATTGTGAAGGGGAATGTTTCCATATGCTCATTCTCTGATTGCTTGTTATTAGTATATAGAAAGGCTACAGATTTTGTAGGTTAATTTTTTAACTTGCCACTTTGCTGAACATGTTGATCGTTTTTATAGTAGGGTTCTAGTGTAATTATTTGTTCCTTATGTATAATAGATCATCTGCAAGTAAGGATAATTTGAATTCTTCTTTTCCTATTAGTTCCCCTTTAACTTTCTTCTGTCTTATTGCTCTAGCAAGTTTCAAGCACTATGTTAAAAAGGAGTGGAGATAGTGGACAGCCTTGTCTGATTCCTGATTTTCATGAGAATGCTTCCAATTCGCCATTTAGAATGATGTTGGCTGTGGGTTTGTTATATATGGCTTTAATTATGTTAAGGTATGTTCCCTCCAGTCCAGTTCCCTATAGGACTTTTAACATAAGTGCATGTTGAATTTTGTCAAAGGCCTTCTCTGCATCTATGGAGATGACCATGTTTGAGATGACCATGTGGTTCTTGTCTTTGAGCCTATTTATATGATTTATGATGTTTGTTGACTTATGTTTATTGAACCATCCCTGCATCTCTGGGATAAAGCTGACTTGATCATGGTGGATGATCTTTTTGATATGTGTCCCTGCTGCGCTGTCTCTTTCTCAGTGGTCTCTCTCATCATGTGTTCTTGTGTCAGCTGTTTCTCCCCAGTCAGGCAGATTTCAGGTTGGCTTAAGGGGAAGTAACTGTTGCACGTGTGCCATAGCATGTTTACCAGACCGTCAGCAATTCTTCCTATACCTATGATTCATAACTTTTGTATTTTTATGTTGTCACACAATTCCTGCATATTCCATTCTTCTGATTTCTTAAATTTTTCATAATCTTTGCTTGAATGGTCTAGTGCATCCACTTTATCTTCCAGTCTTGATACTCTGTTTTCCATTTTATTCATCCTATTGGTGAGGCTTTCTCCTGTCATTTCTAATCGGCTTACTGAGTGTTTCACTTCCTTCTTCATTTCAGCCTGAGTATTCTTCAATATTTCTAACTCTTTTGAATTCATTCAGAAGTTCAT